CCGGGAGGGAAATTTTAAGATTTTTGGGCCAAATCTTTCTGTTGTGCCCCTGTCAGGCGGGTGTACAACTTTGCAATCTGGACCTCCCCGTTGGGCCTTGGCCTCTTAGAAAAAGTTGGTAGGTACTGGGGCATTTTGCAAAGTTGGACGGTAGGGGTCCAACCGATGCTAGGGGCATTTCAAAAACTATTACTTTTGTCAGAGGTGTATTCCGCTCTACCCACATCTTTTAGTCTCAACTTATGGGGGTATTTGGCAAATTATCCCAAAAAGAAAAAGGGCAAGGAACAAACTGGCAAAAAACAGGCTTGAGGTCTGCAGCAACTGGCAGCCAATAGCATCACGCTGGAACTCCTTTGGTAGGCCAAAACATCAGCAGTCTCTGCTGGGAGGACGCAGCCCTATCTAACTTCCTGTTGATTGGTTTCTCATGTGACTACACAACAAACATCTGCGACCATATTACGCTGGTCGGCACTACGGGCTGCGAGCCCGCGGCCTCGCGGTATGTCAGTAGGGATTATGTCTTGACATTGTCATCTCTGCCGATTTAGGCAGTAAACAATACGCGTTGTACTTTCAGATTTGTTAGGGTTAGGAATTCCTGTTTTACACCTGTTATCTTTCTCTTGAGTTTTTTCCTTTTTTCGATTTTGACTTGTCAATTTTTTCGGTTCCTTTTTCACAGGGGACGGGGACGGGCTCCGCTTGCTGGATGCAGCTGGAGGCCTTGTGGCCCCTGAATCTGAAACTTGTGTTCAATTGTATTTTTGCCTTGGGCACTGGGCCCTGATAATAAACGGAATCTTTCTTTTAAACATAAAAAAAATAAAAAATCACGCGCTGGTAGAGCGTGACGTTACACTCACGCACTCAGGTCTGACTACAAGCAAAGAGGACTGCATAGCAGGCCTAAACCTGGATGGCTTTTCAGCAAGATGCAGAACAGCAGATGGGTCGCGATTTATTCATTTATTCACAAACACGTCCAGAATGAGGCCATAAATGGCATCCTCTTTGCTCGTGAGACCTTGCCCACGGATTACAGTTACAGAATCCGTGCAGAATCCATGCTTATCTAACAAAAATCCCCAAAAAAAGAGAGAAGAACCAAAACAGAAATTGACAGAAACAACCAACCACACATGCTGAAAACCCAGAACCCTTCAACAACGGCCCCCCTAGCAGCGAATAAGAGCCACCGACTCAACGGGCCAGTCAGGGCATCCGCTCAACGGACCAGTCAGGGCATCCGCTCCGAGAAAAAATGGACCGCGCCTTTGTTCTTTTGGCAACGGCTATCCCGACGGGCTTCCCCGCCCCACTTTCAGCCCTCTTCAATTCCCGCCACCCTCCCAACTACCTTGCTGCCTAATGGACGACCGGTCGGTGCACAACGACCGTTCGTTCCTACGTCAAAACACCGAGGTATAGCGAACAGCCTATGGGCTGCAAACAGACCCTACACCTAGACTTCTACCGGCCTAGATTCAGGCCCTGGACCATCATTCCCTACTGGACATCTACCAGACCCTTCCACAAGCCCAACCACCTTGCTGGAAAATCCTTACCAGGCCTCTAGCAAATTCTGCCTATGTCCCTGGGCGCTACGCTACCCCCATATCTCCCACGGCTTCAGTCCTCCCCCTAGCCATATCCGTACTAATCCAGGACCTTGTCCCTGTCCGAGGCACAGCCACATGCACACGGCCGACAGAGTTAGCACATGGACCCACACTTGGACTCAGGCAGGCCCATGACACACGCACGCACACACACACACACACACACACACACACACACACACACACATACATTAGTGGCAGGTCACATACAAGACTTAGAAAGCACAAAAAACCACAGCAGAACAGACTTGGAGTCGGAAGTCTCAGCAAACAGGTTCGCTCAGAAATTGCAGAGATCTCAGACAGTGATTTGTGCGGGTCATTGTGGTACATGGAATGCGGAAATGGTATATGAAGGTGCCAAGCTGTCATGTTACGCTCATATATGAGGTGTATACTACCTACCTAGTACTGTTACGCACACCCAACTGCATACACGGGAGTGTCATTGGAGTGCACTGTATGTTTTTCCGTTGTGCGCTGGTGGTTGCTTGGTTCTGTTTCCTTTAAATTTGTGCAGGTCTTGAATTGCTTTTTTTTTCTGAAGATTAGGGGTGCAGAGATGGCTGGCAGCGGCGATTTCAGTTCCTCCTGTCGATCTTCATTCGTATCTAATTTCACCTGCCTTTTTGACAATGTGTCGACACCTGGAGGAGGTGCTGCCCTAACTGCCCAACTGTTCTGTGATGAAGTTGAGTCCATCAACGCGAAGCTGACTGACGTAACTGGAGCAGTGGATACGTCATTTCTTCTCTTCTCAGCGTACATGGTCTTTCTCATGCAGGCTGGTTTCGCCATGCTATGTGCCGGCTCCTGTCGCGCCAAAAATACCATGAACATTTTGTTGACGAATATTGTTGATTCTGCATCTAGTGCCATTGTTTTCTACCTCTTTGGCTTTGCCTTCTCCTCTGACGCCCCTGATGACAATGGTTTCATTGGAGGTTCGTATTTTGCCCTGCACGGCTATATCCGCAAGGAGATGTGGGTCTTTCAATGGGCCCTTGCGGCAACAGCAGCGGGGATTGCCAGCGGGTCGATTGCAGAAAGAACCAAGTTTTCAGGATACCTCACATACTCCACTTTTCTTACAGGTTTTGTGTACCAGGTTGTCGTTCATTGGGTTTGGTCGACCAATGGATGGCTGTCCACAGCCCGAGAGGTTGGTGGACGCTTGTTTGGAACAGGAATGATTGATTTTGGGGGAAGTGGGGTTGTGCACATCACTGGAGGCTTGGCAGGACTCTGGGGAACCTTAATAGAGGGCCCTCGACTGGGGCGATTTGGACCGCATGTTACCAAAGTCACCAGAATGCAAATGAGTTGCAGTGAGCGCATGTTTGGTGCTGCTGAGAGGCTCGGCTCTCGTGTCCACGGTTCAGGCGGTGTTCCGCCTGAGTTTAGAGGCCATAGTGTGGTGCTTGTAGTCCTAGGAACACTGCTGCTCTGGTTTGGTTGGTATGGATTCAATCCTGGTTCAGCATCGTACATTACGAATGGAAGGGCGGCTACGGTCAGCCGCGTGGCAACCACCACGACTTTGGCCGGTGCCGCGGCAGGCGTCACCACTCTTTTCGTCAAGAAGATGCAGAAGGGCCATTGGAGTGTGCAAGACATTTGTAACGGCCTTCTCGGTGGGCTTGTCGCAGTAACGTCTGGCTGTGACCCACTCCCAATGCCTACCCTTACCCGACCCCCCCTGGACAAATCCACCATCGCACATAGCTATCCCGAGAAGCACCGACCCTCCGTAGTACTCACACAATCATCATCAACCTTGACGAAGTTCCACACTTACAGACGCAGACCCTTCGAGAATCCAGCCCTTTTTACGTGGGCAAAGCAATCGCAACACGGTGAACCCCAACACCAACCACTCCAAAATATTCCCTTACTCAGGCGCGATAAAAACCTGTCGCTTCCCGGATGCATACAAGATCCGATATCCAACATCACAGTACATCGACCCAGATTCCTCAACACCTCTGTGGGATATGAAGCAAACAGCCATCCACATTACTGAAACGAACATCAGGTGTAATCCCTAATTTGACCCAGCCAACTAATCACTTCACACGATTCCACCCTCCCACTGCCAAGTATCGTCGATGCCGAATCCCGCAATGAAGACCAAACCCAGCAAGGGGAGAACCCCCCGAGAGACACGGAGTCATCACAGCAAAATATATACTAAGAAAACGCTCTTCACCGCGCCGTTCATCAGCAGGCTCCATACGCACAATCCTCCCAACAGTCCCAGCGACAAAGCAGTAGGACATACCCATCTCTCCCCTCCAAAGATGCTTCCTCTACCAATTATCAAACGCGTATTGCAGCAATCTACAACTCTACATCACCCCAGGGAGGAATCCATGGGGGACCATGGCAGCCGTGCGGGATTATGCAGACCACGGGGGAGGAGGTATGCCATAATAGTACCACCAAAATCAACGCAAGAAACCCAATACCCTGAAGAGCTAACCAAAACGCCAACCCGACTAATCTCAGGATACATGGGAGGGGAGGGGTCGCTGGACAGACAAGCACAGGGAGGGAGCAAGCCAACCACGTGGCTCGGCATAAAGCACCGACAGAGAGGAGGGAAAGGACGATGAGGAAGAAGAGGGAGATCCAGAAAGGGGAGGTGAGCAGATACGGGGGGGATTCCGGGAACTGCCATAACGTCCATTAGAACGGGAGATGTCCAGGACACTATCGTTAAGCAACGAAGCGACCACTAGGCTCTACACCGCCTCGTGGAAAACGGGGTAGACGAGTTACGGCAACCACCGCCAAGCTGAGCCGAACGAATGACTTGCAGATCCAGAAATGATAAGAAGGGCAAGTACGCCATAAACGCAATCAAAAAAATGAGGGCGACGTGGGCAGCCGCCAGCAGGTCCATCCCGAATAACCTCCACAACGAAGCTCCTAGAATCTCAACGGTGATGCGTACAACAGAGCTTACGAAGGGAACCAGCACAACATCGCAAGGGACAACCACAACCGAACACAGCAAAACGATGCACAAACAACGTGTCGGGGGGAAAAGGGGGGTGAGTTAGCAACCATAAAAGGTGGGTCGAGGGGTGGGAAAGGGGGTTGGGGGATAGAATAGAAACAGAAATCCCAATCAGTCGAGTGGCTCCATTGTGCCAACGTATGATAGGAGGGTGGTGGAACACGTCCTAAAGTACTTTTCACCGGCTTCCACCTCGCCGGATCTTCAGAGAACTGAGCCTCCCTCATAGCGTACCGAAAGGGACAGGAATCATCCTGGGCMTAACCCGGATTCCACAGAGAAAGGTCCAGAAAGGGGTGGGTAGAGATATGGGGCAGGGCGCATGGAGGGGGGGCAGGGGGTGGGAGGTGGGACGTTGGAACATAGGATGCATTACCGCTCCAGGCGCCATGAGTTGCTGCAGTGGGGGGAAGTCGGGCAAACCCCCAGTAGGCAATATCAGCGACAAACACCCGTGTCGAGAGTGTGCGAGGAGTGGGGAGCCCACACCCAAGGCACCGCCGCCTCGCAAGAAGACCGTGTGACGAACCACTTCACAAACCCGTGCTATCTTTCGTATCCTTTCTTTTGCTTATGTCCTACCAACCCCGGGGAAAACCCCGTTTTGATTTCTTGCTTTCGGCTGCTGCATTTTCCTTTTTTTTGAAGAGCTTTTTCGACTGCTGAGTTCTGTTTTTCCTTTTGCAAAGTCAGGAAATACATGGGAAAGTGCGCGCGCCTTAGCGAGCGCACTGGGAATTGGGCTCGGTAGTTGGGAACTCTGGGATAAGCGGAACTTCGACGTGTCCTTTTTGGTGTGTAAATGTTTTTGGTCAAAGTCTTCTCCTCCTGCTTCTCATCTTACAACTCAACTTTCCTGTCGCCTTTCTCCCCCTTCTATCTCCCCTGTCGCAACTATAAAACTTGCAAGCGTGTCCGCAAATCTCTCTTATGTCCTCGACTCCTAAGCCAGCTTTCGGGAAGCAGTGGCTAGGCAGAGTGTGTTGATGCGAGTCGGAAAGTCTTGTCGTGCTGACGATAGGCTGGCCGGTTGCGCGCTTGATCGCCACGACGGACTGTGGGATCCGAGCGAACCGTGTCGAGCTTACGACAGCAGAGTGACGATCGCAGTGGTGGGAGTTAGCACGCGACGGCCGGGATCGTCGGTGCGGGTATGAGGTTCGATGATTGGAGTTGAGTGAGTGATTGGCCCGGGGCCATACTGGAATTAATGGTGAATGCGCCTTTTTGTTGCGGATTGTTATCTTTGGCGTGAGTGTACGGCGGCGACGCTGAACTTCTCTCTTTCCGGACCTCGTCATCTTCTATTTTGACTTCCTTTCCCTCGAATCTCTCTCTCTCTCTCTCTTCTTGAATGATGATGCGTCTGAATGATTATCCCTCTCCTGAATGGGAATGAGTTGACATCCTGTTTCTGTGTGAAAGAACTTCTTCCGGAACTCTTCCATTAGTTTCCTGGGTAGTCCTCCTACTCAAGGACCCCGCCTTCTTGTCTTGTGAACGGTGGATGCGTGTGTACTGTGCAATGCGACCCATCTTTTCCGGTGCATGTCTCATTTTCGCACCTTCCGCAGTGAATGCATGTATGGAATATGTGACTCTTTTGTTGATTAGACGATTGTCGTCGGGATTTTGTTCGAGAATGCAAGAGTGTTTAGATCTATAGCTCTGTTTGCACTGCGCATGCCATCTGCCTTATGCTGCACGACATCAGCAGCCAAGCCACGAGGCGGCCCTGAGAAACAAGGCGCCCAGGGACCTACGTTGTGTTGAACTGATTGGACCCGTAGCCATATGCGTGATCAAGCAGATCTGTGTCTGCTCTCTCTCTTGTGTCAAAAAGATTGATTGGGGGATGCACGAATCGCTTTGTTTTTAATGACGTCTCAGGATATTTTGTGATTGATTGACATGTGGACTGACAAATGCCCTTCGATTGGGCGCCAGCCTCCCGCATCTCCCATCCCAACGCGACCTTTTCCTTACAGTGAGGAAAGGACACGTGTATGTGAGTGGGACGTACGAGAAGCCGTTGCACAAATCGGCGGGCAGTATTACTTCCCTCCGGCCAACTGCTGTTCTGGGTTTGTAGAAGTCGGGTTTGTTATTAACGATACGCACTTCCCACCTTACTCGGTATTGTTGCCATTTAACGAGTTGATTGTCATTCCGTGGACGGCAGTAGAACCCCACTGGCCGCGCACTCTGTGCATCGAATGTCAGCATTTTGAGCGCTACGAGTCCAGGGGTTTTCAGTACCGTGTGCGGAGTGAAGACGAGCATAAAGAAAGAGCCACGCGACTGAGACCCTCCACGTCAGACTCAGAACTAACCAGCGAGCGACGACGAGATTTGATACGAAAACGAGACACGCGAAGCGTGCCCAAGCCTTTTTGTTCTAAACGACGGGCTGTAGCCCGGTGGGAGGCACGACAATACTTTTTGGATTGAATTTGGATATTTCCCTCTCTTCCCGCTTTACCGCGCGCGCATTTTGCGACGCGCGAAAACGATCGACTTGCTCCATCGGACCAACACGGGGGATTTCAGTTCCGTCTGTGTTCCCACACTCAATTTCCAAAAATCCTTGACACACGCCATCTTGCTGTTTTTCTGGGCCTCGTTTCCGCACAGCTAACACTCCGAACGAAAGACAACACAGGGCGTGAGGTTGGTATCAGAGCCGACACGTGTCGGTTCTGATGATAGTAAGTCGAACTGGCAAGAGGTAGGAGAGACCCTCAACTAGCTCGTCGAGATCACCCAGTGACCAGATCTAAGTCTGGAGCGGTTGCACCTGCAACAATAGTGGACTGTACTAGGGTGATCGTTAGCATTCCTGCCCCCTTCCCGTTCTTCCCCAACCATATCCATCCCGAGGCTTGATTGGAAGTTGTCGAAGCTCAAAACTACAGCGCAACCGATCTTCCCCGTGTTCTGACTTTACTACTCCGCAATACATCACACGACTGGTTCAGAAAGCATACATGGGTAGATTGGGAGACTTTTAAGCATGCATTCTTGGCTCGATTCGACACGGTTAGTGARGATGCCGCCTGGTACGTGCTCAAAAATTGACCCCAAGGACCAGGGGAACTGTTACCCGATTTCGTTGATCGATTTCAAACCACATTGGATAAATCCGGGCGAGACGAGAAATCTGCTCGAGATTTGTTTATTTATCACCTTCGAAGTCCGACCTTGAAAGGGAAACAACAGAAAAAGGTTCCCCCAAAAACAACTCAGTTATTGACTATCATTACAAAAGCGTTGGAACTAGACTTGGCTGATACAAAAAAATATATCAGTCAGGGAGACGAAGACATTACGGATACCATACGGGATGTAACGGCTAAAAGACGATCGTGGTTGCAGGCGGTCGAACGATTTTATCCCCGCCCCGACCATGACCTTCCCAGCGGAATCGTTTTCGATATCCCGACTGCTTCTCCTTCATCTCCCCCGGTGAATCAATCGATCGCAACCATCAGAAGCAGACCTTCATCTTAGCCCCCTTCGCCGGCCGTAACCAATCTACACCTTGTCCAAATTATCCATACGACTACTACCAAGCAGTCCGAATGGATGAGCAACTTGATCCAAATGCAGGCCGCTCATATGGAATG